AACTGAAGAAAGTTGCCAGCGAAAAGGCTGCGGAAAAGCGGAAAAGCGGAAAAGCGTAAAAGCAAAGGGCCAAGTTAACTAGAAAATGGCCAACGGCTAGAGTCATCCAAAAGCGGCGCCAAGAGCCGCTAAGAAAGTTAACCGTCCAATCAGTTTCAGTTCTTCAAAGACACTTTGAAAAATGATGCCAAACTAAACGGAATTCTTACAATTTTGCACATTTTGAAAGTATTTCTTGTAAGAATTGAGCTCAAGACAAGTTTTCTTAGTGCTGCTGATAGAGCTCCCGAATTTCGCAGGCCAACGCCGAAAGTGGTCCACAATTGACCAGCAAATTGCCCGAAAATGCGGCCCATTCCCCCCAGAAAAGAAGGGATAATAAAGGGGGAGTAGTCGGGGAAAAGGCCTCGTGTCAAGGACAAACGTTTTGGGGACAGTGTGCTCAGCTGGGCAGGCTGCCAGAAACCAACAGCAGAATGAACAAAAACCAAAAAACAATAAGGAGGAGGCAGGCAGGCTCGAAAGAGCGGCTCCTGTTGAGCCCCAAACATTTGGCTGAAAGATAAATGAGAGTTGGACTTGCAGCTGGCTCTGCTGGTGGCTTTCTCCTCTGGCCGAGACTTTCGGCCAAGGACGACAAGGACCTTCATCAACACATGGTCGCAACTGCTGTCGCTGCTGCAATTTATGTAAATTGCGGGCTAGTTGAAGGAGGTGGAGAAGGACTCCCTAGCCGAGTGCCAAAAAGGCGAGATCGGAAGTTAAGCAATTGCCACTTGCGACAACGCTGCGTATGTGTGATTTCTCCGTAACCCCTTTCCCCCTGGAACCCCCTTTCCAACTGCCCTTTCCAACTGGGCGGCAAATGAATTTCAATTCTGCATTTCGAAAGCATTCCCAGGGGGCGTGAAGTTTTTCAATTTGTTGACCAACTTGCACTTCTGCCGCTCGCAGGCAAATTGTTTCTTTTTGCAGGCTCAAATTATGCAATTTATTTCAGTGCATGTGCAAGTTTGGGAGCCCCTGATAAAATCATAGTTTGAGCCCCGAAGTTATGTTAATTGCGCAGGGGAGTGTAATTATTGGGGGAAATGCTACTTTCGACAAAGGGTTCCCCGAAGTCGCAAGTGTTTCGTTCAAAGGGGGAAATTGTGCAGAAAATTATGCAATAACAGTTTTTGGATGAAAGGGTTTTCAGTTTGTTGCCCTTTTCATTGAGGGGTTACACTCTTAAATCATTGCAAATTCAGCTTAAAGGCTCAACCAACTTTCTGTATTTTATATCTATCACCATCTATGCTGCATTGCAGCTCAAAATCTGCTTTAATCCAATTCGTTTCCGCGACAAATCCTTGACTTACCCGATCCCACATTAACTCATCTCCTGCTGCTGTCACTTGAATGGAGGAGAGACACTTGTACAATTTAACTAAGCACGGAAACCACTGCACAATGCACTTATAGCCCGCCATTCGTTTCCCAGCCAAACCACTGCCACCCCGCCACGCCCCCTTCTCCCAGCCACGCCCCCTGTGGCTTGAGTCGCCGCCGCAATTTAAATAAGCTTAAAAGCGCAGCGAAGACTAAAAGCAAACTTGACTGAAATGCATTTCCCCCCCTCACTTTTCCCTCCTTCGTTTTTCACTCTGCTACCAAAAAAGCCAAGAGGGAAACGCCAGCATATTGAATGCCAAATGAGCGATTAGCACTTGTCGCCCTGTTGAAGCTGAAGCCTTTGGCAATGTCTGCCAGGATGTGACGATGATGGAGGAGGACTCGGGAAGGGGATCCTTGTTTGTGGGTTTTTCTGATTGCGCTTAAATTACACTTAACACAAATTCCATTTGAATAAACGAAATGAAATGCACAGCGGAAGGGGGCAGCTGCATAATCAGCAAAACAAGAAAAAAAAAACTCATTAAAATGTTTAATCAGAAAAACGGGTTGTAAGTTGTCCAATGGCGGTCTGTTTAAATTAGTTTCCATAATTGGAGGAGTTTTTCAAAGTCCTTTATGTTGACTTAGTTGCCATTAAGTGACAGAGAAAATTAGTCAGCTTTTAAATTTATCTGCTTTTCGTCTTGTTTAGCAATTTGCATTTAATAAATTGAAACTTATAATGGTAGCAAATGGTCATAAATAAATGATTTAAGGGGTAAATTGCTTAATCGGAAATCTTTATTAGAGAGATGATTCATGAGTCATAACATTATTTTCAGAGAGAAGGCCATGCCATTTTAAATAACTACAATAGGTAATGTTTTGTCACAAATCGTTATTTATGCTCAATAGAATAGACAAACTTCCCAATAGATATTCCCCTTTTCCTTTAAATAATAAATTCGAATTAAAGCCACTTCATTCTGAAGCAAGCCAGCTAGTAGCTCTTCAAAGCGAAGTTTCCGCATAAATGTTATTAACCGTATCGACTTCGAGTGGCCAAAGTATTTGACAATCCGACCGCAAAAGCCTCAAATGCAATATCGTTGAAATGCACGAGGACGTCAAACCAAACCACAAAGCGTCCTATCAGCAAACAAATCATCATCAGGAAACTGGAAACTGGGAGCCAATTGCCATTAATGCATTCGAAAGGAGCACTGGGGAGATGGTCAAATCGAGAATTGGAGAAAAGGACATGGGGGACAGGGAGGATTACCATTCCCACTCTCGCTGGCAGTAAGTACGCCTATTGACATGGCTGAAAACTGGGAACTGCAAACTGGGAACTGCAAACTGTGAACTGGGAACTGGCCACTAACGAGACTCGTGTGTGCGATTCCCCGACACGACAGTTGTCTAATTAAAAGCCAACAAGGCACCGATAATGCCCTGCCATAAGGAACCGGATATGTTCCCGCAAAGGGAACGCAAAGGGAACGCAGCAAGGGGAGCCCTTCATCATCATCTCAATTGTGGCAGGAAAATGTCATCAGCATCCAAAGGAGGAGCATGAGGAGGCGATTGCCAGCGACGGCAGACATTAAATATTGATAATAATATTTTCCACCTACCCGGAGAAAGCAGCACTGTTGACACTTTGCACAGTTTCCTCGGCTCCACTGGCAACGCGCGACTTAAAGTTTAATTAAAACTTATTTCCTGCGCCCGAGCTCGAAAATGTTAATTAAAACGATGTTCGGCGAGATTGCCTCGCGTTTCGTGAGTTTTTCCGCGCCTTTGCCACTTTTTACTGGTTTCTTTTTTTTGCCAGCCAAACGGATTTCGATTCGCGCGCGGAATTCCCTTTTCCGCTCCTCCACTTCGATGGCAGCCTTACGGTTTGCAGCCGTGCGACAGGATGAACGAGCGGCGGGCATGTGACTCGTGGCTCGAGTGGCTCCGCAGATGCAGGACGAAACTGCACAGGACTCGCAGGAGCGGCGACCGAGTGGAAACTGCAGGCTTCCCCCGAGAGAGTGAGAGTGCGAAACGAGTGGAAAACGAGTGTCGGCTGGCTGGCTCTCCCAGGATTTCCACTCCGAATTGAGCGGCGCGGAAAGCGTTCGTCGCACGGAAAACGTTCATAAATAAAGGCCAAAAAACGCTCGACTAATTGACGTATGCAGCGCAGCACGGCACACACATATTGCCATATTGCCAAAGAAACTACGGCCAAGTGTAATTTTTTCCGCGGCTAAAACGAAATTGGTTATTTGCGTGCGAAACGAGGAACGAAATTCCAGGACGCAGGACGCGGGGCGATGGCTACGTAATTCCTGGTAATGGCTCATAATAAATTGCCCCGAAACAAAAGCGGCAAAGAACGAACGCAAATAAGCGCAAAGTGGCAAGGGTAAAAACTACGGCGATTGAAAGGGGAACAACTTGCGAGGGAATCGTTTGAAAATTGCATTTTAATACGTGGAAAAGCCAGACAGTCGGAGGTGTGATGGCTTCTAGCGAGGATTCCCTGGCTGAGCACAATAAATCAATGGCAAGTCAATTCGGGAAGCGGCCACGAATCGCTCGCAGAAAGCCAGGCCAAGAATAAATGACTGCGAACCTCTAGATATGTTTAAAGCCCTTGCTGAAACCTTTAACTTCGAACTGAGTTTAAAATATTTTACAAAACAGTATATAATTATCCTACAATATCAAGTATACGTTATACTAACTGAAGAACCTACTCTTATGTAGCTTTAACTTCCAACTCGGAAACTCTAATTGAGCTCATCTGTTGGTTGAGTTAAGATAACTCGATATCTAAACTGAAGAACCTGCTCTCATTAAACCAACAAATACTTTTCAGTTCAAGTCTAATTGGATGGCTCAGAGTTTGGAATAGTTAGCGAGTTTGGCAGTTTAAGGCAGCCCTGGCTTAGGTCATCTTCCCAGCAGCACAATGGAATGCTCCCCTCCTCCAACTCCAACTCCACCTCCTCCTCCTGAAACTGTCACCCAGATACCTTCACTCCGGCGGAGTCAACACTTCCGGGCGGAAAGACTCCGGATGGCGAGTGCATCAGCAGTTGACAAGCGACAGATTAGCTCACAATTACAACAAAGCTGAAAGCTGGCAAGCTGAAAGGTGGCAAAGCTGATGATGAATAGCAACTTTGTGGGGGATTCCGCAGAATCCAAGCACTGGGGATGTGGGCCAATGCAAATATTTGTATTCAGTTTGTGAGCGAGTGAGTAAAGTTCATCCGGGAACGAGAAGGTTGAGTCTGACTTGACTTTAAGATTAATTATTGGCCAGGAGTAATAAATACATAATATGCTAATGAGATGGCAGCTTAAAATCAACGAAAGGATAAATATAACCTTTGTTGTTTTTTGTGAGTTTAAAGCTAATTAGAGCTACAAAATCTATAGTTTTCTACTTCAAGAAACAAGACTAATGAATAAACAGTGTTATAACTAAGAGATTACATGCACTACTATTAAACTCAAGATTAAACTCAATTCATTCGATTCAGGCATATAAATATGGTAAACTACAGCATAAACTAACTTATCAAATCTGTTTTATAGGGGAAAAGGGGCCGTGGACTCACCTAGAGCTCAACAGTCGTTCGGCTTCGGCGGCGGTCATGTCATCCGGCAGGGAATCCTCGCGGGGGATCGCCGCAGCTGGGGCGGCGGACTGACTTGGAGGAGCAGCGGTGGCCACGCTGTGGTTCACGTGCACCTTGATCACCTCGTCGACGACGTCGTCGATCAGTTCCACGTCCAGGATGTCGCCGCCCTTCAGGTGGTTGATGATGTCCTCCTCGTCCTCGCCTGCGCTGGTGTCCGCGTACTCGAGGTCCTGCGACTCCAGGGATCCCTGAGCAGGAGCTCTGCGTTCAGGGAGGACGGGAGCCTCCTCCTCCTCGTCCTCGTCGTCCTGCCGCAGCTCCAGCACCTCCACGTACTCGACGGCCAGGTGCTCGTCCTCCCCGTCGAGGCCCAGCTCCTCCTCCTCCTCGTGGGCGTCGATGGAGGCGATAGGCGCGATGCCCTTCACCAGCGCCGCTCGGGCGGGGGAGCAGGGGGGCGTCGACTTGGCACTGCCCCCGCCACCGACTCCTGGCTCCTGGTGGCTGCTGCTGCGCCGCCTGATGGGCGAGACCACGCCCACGGGCGGCGAGTTGAATGCCCCGCGGTGCAGGGGCGACCCCTCGCCGCCCGAGGAGGTGGGCGACTGCAGGAGGACCGCCCGCGAGGGAGCCACCGTCTGGCACTCCGGCGCGTCCGTCTTGATTATGGCGTACACGGTGCTCGACTCCTGGCCGAAGCCGTTGGCTCCGTGGAACTTGCGCTGCATGTCGCTCACCTTGGCGGTGTCGTAGAGCTCCGCCTCCGATCCGTAGACCTCGCGGCTCTCGCTGCCGTCCGGGTTGAGGCGGTAGCCCACGTCCACGTAGTTCAGGCTGTGCGGCTGCTCCTCTGCTGGGGAGGAATCGTATGCCGGCTGCAGCTTGGCCTTCACCTCGGGCGCGGACTCGTTGAAGCCGCCCTCGTCCTGGCTGCTCGTCGAGATGATGCTCGGGGGCCGCTGGCCGAGTCCCGCCGCCGGCATGTTCACCGTGATGCTGCTCCGCTTGTTGGCCACCCGCTGCGGCGATCCGGAGGCGGAGCCCGGAATGGAATGTTGCTGCTGCTGCTGCTGCTGGGAGTTGTTGGCCACTGCCGGAGATTCGTCCACAGATTTGCGACCTAAAAGAAAAGGGAAATCAATATGCAATTAAATATCGGTTAAACAGTAACAAGGAAACACAGAAAGTAGAATGGAAGGTACAATAGTAAAAAGGGATCTACATTTATTCATAATTTGTATTTAGAGCACAATCTAATTTTGTTGTTTCATTTCGTTCCCTAGGAATTAGATATCCTCCTTGAGCATCCTGATCAGATCCGTTTGCATGTTGAGCAGCAGGCGGATGCGCTCCGAGTTCGAGTCCACGCTCAAGTGGGATCCGAAGTCGGAGTTGTCCTGCATGTGCTGCTCGAAGAACTGGCGGTACCTCTGCACCTCCGCCTCCAAGACGTCTGCCTTTTTCGCATCCGGTTCCCCCGCAGCTCCTTCCTGATGAGATCCATCAGGTCGAGCATCCGCTGGCGGGCTTCCTGCGGGATCCTCTGGCAGTCGGAGCAGCGGAAGGCGTTCCTCCTGGGCGGGAACTTGGGAGCCGACGGGGACAGGGAGCGGTTGGTGGACTGGCCGGAGGCGGAGGAGAGCTGGAAGCGGGCGTTGGTCCGGTTGTTCCGGTACAGCTGACGCACCTCCTCCTCGCTGGTGGTGGGCACTTGTCGGAGGAGGTGTCGCCTCCGCGGAGCTGGCGACTTGGAATCGAGTGCGCTGGTTCCGCCCGGAGAGCGGTTTTCCGGGAGGGAGCCCCAGTACTCGGAGGTGGTGCGTTGTCCGCTGCAGCAGCAGGAGGAGGTGGAGGTGGGCGCTGCTCGAGCGGACTGGTTGTGGTCGCAGGATCGCTGGAGCAGGTTACCAGCAGTCGTGGACTGCTGGGTGGAATTGTTCTCCAGGAAGTTCACCCAGGTCAGCTCCTCTTTCGGCGGAGGCTGCTCGAAGACGCCGGACAGGCGCCTCTGGTTCAGGCAGACGATGAAGTGGCTCATGTAGGCGTTGCGCATGCGCAGGTCGTTGAGCGTGGAGCAGCGCGTGGTGGTCAGCTTGTCGAACCACAACCAGGCCACCCCGAACTCGGGCGAGTTCTCGCAGAAGGTCTCCTCGAGACTCGGCGAGCAGTCGAGCATCAGGACGAAGTCGTTGGAGAGCAAGCTGTTCTGGTTCTGGTTCTGGTCACCTCCATCCTTGCTCCTGGGACTTCCGGCACGCTCCTTCTGGGGTGGTTCGTCTTTCTCATCTTTCTCGCTGGCAGGACTTTCGGGACTTTTTTCTCCGCGCTGCAGCTGGATGGACGAGGTGGTCATCAGCAGACTCGCATAGCTGGCCCTCCTCTGCGTTTTCTCATCCTCATCTGCGTCTTTATTCGGCATGATTTACTCGTTTGCTTGTGTACTTAACTTTGTGTTGATTCTACGTTTCGAAAATGTCAATGATAGGTTTCTTTGATAAAAACCTATATCAAATAGAAATCCTGATATCGACCTCTGAGTCACGGGATCAGCACAAAATATTTTGACACTTTCAATGAATTGGCTAATTAATCGCCCGCGCCATTATTTCCACTTTCCTAATTTATTTATTTGTACACAAATTCGCCGCGGAACGGAACGAGTGCCTTAATGGATCAGAGCTAATCGCAGGTTATACGTATTTTGGGACTTCGCGGACTATTTTCGTGATGGTGCGGTGTAGATGCTAAAGCTGTCAACGGAAGGCATAAATATAGACGCCCCCATACACATGAACACGTCTCTAAATTGGACCTTTGGCGACGTTTAGTGGGGGGAGATGGAGCCAAGCAGACAGACGACATTTTCGCCGAACGCGTAGGCATTTTCCAACCGGCAGAGGAATGCCTTAGAAGTTTTGTAAGTTTGCCAATTATCAGCCGTTTATAAATGGAATTCCTGAGTTATTTTACATATTTTAAGTTTATTATACATAGTTCTCGTGCAGACCAGTCTAGTTTTACTTATAGTTATACCAACCTCGACAGGCTTGACAAAGTTTCCGCAAACTGAGACACATTTTTCCTTTCACTTCACGAGCACTTTTAATGTTTTGAGAAGCACATGTTGCGATACTAAATGAGATGTGTTTAAATTGTTGTTTAAAAAATGCCTTTTAATTAATTATATAGTAACCATGATAAAACGCCCAGCAAGATCGAACAAAATGAGTGCATTCAAGTGCATCAATCAAATTCAAAGATTAAATTTAATCTGGGGAAATAACATTACTCAGAGGAACGAGGAAATGCGAACAGATATTCGCAGTGCATCGCTTTGCAGTAAACAGATTCGATTTCAGCCGCTGCCAGCTGGGCGAGCACAGGATCCTTGGACCCGCAGTGGGCCATCCTGGTTCGTTCGGACCTGGTCAAGTGCACCCTGGCGTATGCTTAATGCCAATTAGACATGCGTGCGCTTTTAATTAAGAGCAGCCTGCATACTTAATGCAGAGGTCATCTGCATTTGAGCACTCGAGGGGGAGATGAGCAGCAGCTGGCAAAGGCCAATGCGGCGTATGTGTGATTTCTGTTTGGTTCAAGTAAATAAACTTGATGAAAATTCAAGCCAAATTCCGAAGGTCGCGCATTCAGTTTGTTGTTGAGTGGAGGAGGCGTAAACGAACGCAATTGAATCGATGAAAAATCGAAGGGGAAGAGCACACTTTTTCCTGCATGTGTGTGTGTGTGTGTACTCTATAATGAGATGCGAAAATTAATGGAAAACCGGGCCAAAAATAAATGCTGTGCAAAAAATAACAAAAGAGGGAAAACAGAAGCAAACAAAAGACAATTAATGAGAAGTAACAAATGGCAAATCAGAAAAGGGGCAAAAGCTGAATGGGAAAAAGTTTCCAATAAATCAAGGTTTATAAATAACTTTCCGAGTAATTGAAGCAATGAAAAAATATATAAAAAATGCACCTACATATACCCGTTCACTTACATCAAATGCCTTTAATGAATCAAAGGCGGAAAAATCAATTTTGCTAAACAAATGGGCGAAGCAAAAAGTGCAGACCTGCACTTGCTTTCCACTTGCGAGAACTACAGTTAAAAACATAAAAAACTTGCCTGGGAAAATGCAAAAATAATTGTTTGAGTAACCACAACAAAGAGAACAAATTAGGGAAGACAAAAACAGGGGAGCGGAGAAATGTCAAGACAAAAACGGAAGTTGCTGTCAAATGTGCCAAAACCCGAGGATAAGGAGGCGAAAGCCGAGAAGAAGAAGAAGGGCAGCTACAGTATGTGGGGTCGGATGATATAGTAAGTCGGCATTTGCGGGCTAGTTAGGTCAACTTCCAAAAGTCCTGACTGTGCAGATATGCATAATGAAAACACAACGAGACCAAGACAAAGGAGACTCTTAAATCCCTGTGGCCGAAAGGAGGAGAAGGAGGCGGGAGCAGGATCTGTTTCTGTGTGTCCTGCAAAACAGCTGAATAGCTGAACAGGCTTAACTCCTGGAAATTCATTAAGGAAAAACTAAACAAGCATCTGGACGACTGCACAAATATTTCAAATGTCAGATAAAGATGCTCGGGAATGTTTAAGGACATTTCTCGACCTTTTAATTACAGAAGAAACTGTCCAAATGGAATGCGTCATCTTTCCCAGCAGCTAAAATAAATAAAATAACTGGCAAAGAAAAAAGGGCACCTAAAACAAATATTTCAAGATGCAGCAGATAATTAAAAGTTTTTTATTCTATATGCATACACAGAATGCCTTTTATGCCCCAAAAATGTCTCAATATATTTCAAACTGATTCGGAATGCTTGAGGACACTTCTTAGCCCAAGGAAAACATCTCAATGCAACTCGGAGAGTATCTTTTTGCCACATTCCTGTCCAGCAGCAGCAGCAACAGGCAAAAACAACGCAAAACCCACACTGAAATATTTTACGGCCTCTGAATGGCGAAAACTGCAAACACATGACAATTGCAAACATTTTTGTTGCGGCATACGATTTCAAATTTGAAAATAAACTCGGCGAAAGGAAAGTAGCGGCAAAAGTGTGCGAGAAAAATGCGAAAATAGGGAAAAGTTTGAACGTTTGCTGGTGGCTGGTGGCTGGCGGCTGTTGCCATGCCAAGAAAACTCTTCTACTTTTGAATGTGAAGGAATTTGTTGAATATTTTGTTTGTCGCCACTGCGAAATGCAGTTCGCTGAACCTGCGGAGGAACAAAGAAACTCTTCCATACTTGTCCAGTATCCAAAAGATGCTCTCCGGCTGGCAGATGTCTGCATCTTCTGCATTCTCCTCGAACTCAGGGATCTGTATCTTTTTTTCGCCATCAATTAACTCTTCTCGAAGCGAACGGCCGCGCAAATTAGGGTCACTCGGGCAGTTTGCAATTTAATTTCTGTCCAAATCAGTTATGCAAGCGTAGAATTCTGAATGAACGAATACCTCCGCGATTATTTTATTTATTTTGTTGATTTGAAAAGAGGATCGTCATTCAGCAATAGCACTTTGCCGTTCCAGGTTAAGGTTCCAACTGATCGGGAAGACGGCGACGAGAAAAAGCCAGACCTCACCGAACCATTCAAGACATTTCCAGACTCCGAGAGCGAGGATCTGTTATCTGTTATCAGCGGCGAGGGACAGAAAGCCAAATCTGAGGCCTCACGTGCCCCCCAAAAATCGAACAATCCCACCAAAATCACAGAAATCAGAGATCTGAAAAATCACGCCCCTGGCTCATGGTTACTATATATTTCCATATGTCGGAGCAACGTGCCGCGAATAATTTGTTTTGATTCGCACGGCTTCGCATTATCTTCAATTACTATATAGAAGTATTTGCTTTTGGGAATTCTCGATTACGCGTTCGAAAATGTATTGCTATTGCGAAAGTTCTTGCCCGCTTATCAACGCGACATCAACTGAAAGAACGGCCGCTGAAAATTTTCGCTTCTTCAGCATCGCCGCGGAAGAGAGAGCGGAAAATGGGTATATAGCTGAGAGATCTGGCCGATCGGATCGGCGCATCTCTCTCCGGCGAGCGTTTTTTGGGGCCAGACATGTGGCAGCCAAGTTACAGGGTATTTCGGGTTCACTTCGAACCGAAATTTTAGGGGGCCTTCACTTGTCAAGCTGCCAGATTGCAGAATCCGCAAAATGAAATGTTGGGAAAGGCCAGAAACCCGAGAGAATCAGTCAAGTGTCGAGACGGATTTTGGGGCTAGTGATATCTAATAATAACCCTAAATGAAAATAGCCATGCAACGAGCAAAATCTGTGTGGAAAATCGAGTGAATAGCGTTTAGAACCATAAATTATGGGGAAAAACCTATTAAAATGCCGTATTTATGAGACCTAAAGTTCGAGTGAAAAAGATATAAAAATCAATGAATTGTGTCAATCTACACTGCTAAATTCAACCCCATGCTAGCAATAAACAATTTGATTAATAACAACTGCTGTATTACTGAAAACTTTCCAAATTTTTTCCTGTGTAGTTGATAACTTGGTCTTTACTCAGCGATTGTGGCTGTTTCCAAAGAGTTTCCTCTCTGGCGAAATGTCGCCTTGATGATTTTTTTGATGTGAACATATTTCACCGAATTTTCGCAATGGACGTCATCATTTTGGCGTGAAAAGAGATGAAAGGAAAACTAAGAAAAAGTGCAAAGTAAAAATGAAAAAGCGGAGAAATGCGAAGACGTTGGGTGGTCAAACTAGGCAAACAAAGAGCAAGAAAAGTGAGGAAAAACTACGGCAAGTGGCTGTCAAAACCCCACGCGTCTTTCATTAAATCATAGGATCGTTGAACTCTGGCGCCCTTGTTGCTATCTCTTCATCAAATCGACCTCAACCAATATAATTAGTACAATTAACTTAAACATTTTTGAAGAGCCCACTAAGCCAGCAGAATACTTTGTGAGTTCTATGATAACTCAAAAACTAGAATACACCCAATGTATTGTTTAGTATTATGTTATGCATAACTATATAAGTAAAAAGTTGTTGCTTTAATTAACGATTAATTCGTAAAGAAAAACCAACTTCCCTATTTTTCAAACTTTGTTTGACAAAAAAAGCTTTGGTTTGTGAACAAACTAAGGGTAACATCTTTCCCTGAAAGCTTTTCTGCAAAGAGAGGAAAATTTGAGAGCCAATTTTAAGAGAGTTAACAGTGGTCGAGTGAGCTAAGACTCAAACCATTGGAAAACTGTTACAGAAATACACTAAGCAAAATACGCTGTAACAGAGACCAATTAACGTTTGTTAGTTAATATCTTTTATGTTTAAGCAAATACTTGTGTTTTATCTACATTTAGTTAAAATATTAATAGTTATTTTTTACTGAAGGTGATTATTTTAAGAGAAACGAGATGCATTTGTTTTTCTTCTAGTTATCCGGCCCCCTGAATGTTTACCTTTCTGTGGTAGTGTGCGTTGTGTCTACTTTGTTTTTAATTTGTGTGCGTAGGCGTCACACAAACACGAATGCAGCCCCAGAAGAACCCCCTATAAGAATCCACTTTGTGGGTCTATTCATAACATATTGTTAATATTTGAGCGGCTTTTAATTTGTGATAAATAATACCTTCCGCTTTGGATTAACAAAAAACACAATGACACAGTATTTTGGGCCATCATTTTTCATTGTGCTGAAATAAAGTGGAGCACAAGATACTTTTGGCAGGCATAATTTAGAGACGGCACAGACATACACTGTACACTCAGAGAATTATATGCACTTCACTATGAATTATATTAAATATTTACTTATAATAATGTATTTTCTGCATAAATATATAATAACTGTCATCGGCCTGTAACATTCCTCTGGTAAAGTTTTCTTTGAGTGCATAGATTTAAACCCTCCCCCACCTGAAAGCACCCATCCGTTCGTTGGCGTCTTCGTAGTTTTTGAGTAGTATTTTCCGTGTTATTTATAAACTCTTGAATGTGACAGGCGGGCACAAGCCATTCAAAATGTGCCATGCAGCACCACCGAAGCCTAGGCCTTCTTTCCGACTTTCCGACTCGATGTTTATACTTCCCATTATTCCCTTCCCCGACCCCCCAAATGGATCCAATGGGTCCGTGTCCCCCATTCATGTGTTCGCGTCATGTCGCTCGTCTGACAGTCGTTAAGGGTGTAGCTACTGGTACAGTGAACTCTTGGGTATTCACGAATATTCCCGGATTGTGATAAAAAACTAAACTTGAAAACCGAAATGTTCCGATGTCCTCTTACTGGGTCATCACAGTACCCCAGATATTACCAATTTAAAGCGCATGTGAAGAGCACATGTCGGTCTGCATGCAGATGGCGCTAAGCATGTGACGGGTGCTGTGTCAGCGATCTGACAGAAACCGCCGTAAAAATTGTGCTTGCACTAGAAACTAGAAACTAGAAACAGAGCACAGAAATAGATGAATACGGGGGAATGGGAAGGGGGAAATCGTCAGACACTCTTTTCGAAAACACTAGGACTTCACATAACGCAATTGCAGACACCAGACACAACCTACCCCAACTTGAGCACATAATCCAATCCACTTAGCTCCACTCCGTCCATCCATCCCCTTTTCGCCCCACCAAGAGCACTGGAATCAATAAATCAAGGTAAGCCACGCCCCCTTCACGGACACAACACTGCCATTTATGAATTAAAAAGAGTTCCAGAGCCCAGTTCGCATCGCCAGATAAGCAATCATCGGCAGAAGCCGCCGCTCGAGGAGTCGAGCAGACAGCAGAAACAACAGGAAGGGAATGCGGGGTTCGGTAATCGAATCTTTGAATACCCTCAGAGAAAACAATTTGAGCGAGCAATATGTTGAAATGCCAAGTGTCACTTAATTAGCTATATTAGCAGAAATGATATTTAAATTTGCCAACTATAATCTATACATTGGGCAATCTGCCAGTTTTCAATGCAATTATCCTCATCTAAAAATACTTCTAGCTAAAAAGCTTCTCGTTATTGAAGCAAGAAAGGTAATATTATTTTTAATAATTTAATAAATTTGAATTTCCGCAACTGTGTGGAGGCCAGGAAATTTCAGCACTTCAAAAACCAAATTCAAAAGCCATGAATTCTGGCTATCTGGCCAATCTAAATGGGAAATCGTAATACCCCCCGAAAGGGCATCGAAATGCGGTATCTACGGGATGCCTGGGACTCGAATCGAGATTCAAGATTCAGAGCCGAGAACTCGGGCTGCTGGCGGAAGTGCGGCGTGCAAATTCCAATTTTGTAATCAGCAGCTGGATGGGATGGCGATGGCTATGGTGATGGCGATGGTACAAGACTCGCGACTCGCGACTCGAGGAGAGTGCAACGCATCATTGAATTCTTAATCTGGCATTAATACAATTTTATGTGTGGAGTCGCTGGAGACGAAGACCCCGCCGCGAGGGGGCGGGAATCCCAACAAAATCCGCAAAACGCCGACGAGCCTCGGACCATGAAGATGGGCGACGACAGATTGTGAGCACTGCACTCGAGGAGGAGGTGGAGGACTCGAGAAGTGGCCAGGGAGCCAGGGAGCCGTGGAGCCGGGGGAAGACGTCGCTTGGAATGTTGTCGAGCCGTTGTCGTTGGGGGCTGCATTTGATATGCCTGCTGTGTTTGACCCATATTGGAATTTGCCTCCAGAGCACACACACAGAGAAAAGGAGGGAACCACCTTGCTTCTTTCTTTAAATTACCCAAACCTTATTAAGTTACAAAGAAAAGGGAGCATAATCCCACGAGCTCTGTGCTAAGTGAACCCCCAAGTAGCACTCTTTTCTCCCAGTGCACAAACAGCAACAGAGTGCACTTTCAAGAGGGGCTCCGAGCGGACAGGAAGGGCTGAGTTGGGGCGGCGCGCAAGTCACGATTTGTACACCGCTTAGAAAAACTTGTAATGAATGTGGGATGCGATGAAACGGAATGGCTGGGGATGAGCTGGAGGCTCGGAGGGATGGAAGAAGGGAGGGCAGGGGACCTGGGAGGACAACAGGAGGCCACTGCACAATAAAGTCGACCTGGCAGCTCAGTGCAGCACACACAACCAGAATAGAAATAGAAGCAAGAAGTCGGGAAGGTGTTTGAACTCGAGCCAGCAAAGTTCAAAACTTCCCCACGAAGGAAGTTCGAGAATGCCCGAGACGAGTGGCTTCTGGTTCCTGATCCAAAAGGCTATCAATTATGTCTGGAGAGGAAGGAAAGCCCAGCCCCACGAGAAAATGGAGCAGTCTGGAAACTAAACCTCCTCGGGATTAGTTGTGTTTGTCGTCCAGATAAGGAATACCTGCTTTTATCAAGCGCTATATTTTATAAACAACTATAAAATCACTCACTTGTGTGAGCTAAGTGATGAATCATCGAATGTGTTTAAGGTGATCACCTTGACAGCGTTATCAGTGGGGGTTTCTTTTTGTTATTCGGTTCTTCATTGATGGAATGTCCCTCGTATTATATTCTCGTATAATATATTATATACATTATATTATATATATTATATTATATTAATTAGAACACAACTCACCTTCGTTCTCGCTGCGTCGCCGCCTGGGAACACTGTTGTAGTTGCTGCCGTGGTAGTACTCCATCTCCGACTTCTCCGTGGACTCGTTCTCCTGCTTCTCGTCCTCGGTGTGGACCGGTGACGAGGGTCCCGAGGAGGCGCTGGCCACCGGGGAGCCCGACGCGGCCGAGTTGGTGCTGCCGCTGAGTCCGTTGCCGTTGCCGTTGCCGTACTGCCCACCGCTGGCGGGTCCTCCGTCCAGGGAGCCCCTCTTCGCCGGCTGCAGGATGTACGAGCTGGTGGGCGAGGCGCAGGACGAGGGCGTGGAGCAGTTGGTCAGGGGCTGCGAGTCCTCGATGAGGTCCACGGACTTCTTGCGCGGCTTCTCCGGCGGAACGGGCGCCACTCCCTGGTCGCCGGCGTTCCGCAGCAGCTCCTGCTGCTCCTGCATCAGGGATCTCTGGAGCACGGCCGCCGACTTGGCGGGCGGCGGAGGCGGCGAGTTGTCCGCCGCCTTGGTGGGCGACTGGCGCAGGCGCTCCGGGTTGAACTTGACCGGGCTGACGTTCTTTGGCTTCACCGCCGGAATGGGCGGCAGGGGCGGCGACTTGACCGGACTGCCGATCTTCCCGCTCCGAGGCTTGATCTCCGGCGGAGCCTGCGACCGCGCCGGCGGATTGGGACTGGCGTTTGGCGGCGGCTGAGGCTGAGACTGAGGCTGAGGCGGTTCCATCGGCGGCTTGGCCACCTTCTCGCTGTCCATGATCAACCCGGTTCCGGGCACGGTTCGAATAATGTCGCAGCGGTTAAGGTCGCTGTGCGTCCGCGTGGTCTTGGTCTTGGTGAAGTGGGAGGTCCACTTCTTCTGCTTCTCGATCAGCTCCCGCGAGTTGAACTTGCGCTCCGGCTTCTCCGGCTTGTCGCCTCCCGAACTGGCGAACAGGGCACTCACCGATCCACCAGCTGGAGGCGGAACGGGCGAGGATGTCTCCTCCGACTTCAGGCGGGAGATGTTGTGCTGGGGGTACTTCACCACCGAGGTGGGAACAACCTGAGCCACCTGAGTCGCCGGTTCCACGATAAACTTGCTGTTGCTTAAGCGCTGCTCCGGGGGAACCACTCCGTTCTGGGCCACCGCAGTGGCGTTGTTGTTGTTGTGAACGAGCGAAACCCCGGAGGGAAAGGGGGTCCTCCGCTTCGGCGGCGACTGAGAGCGGTCCGAGGAGCGGGAGGACGAGCGATCCGACCCGTCGCAGAGGTTGTCCTCGCGGGATCCGCTCCTCAGCAGCCGGGAGCTTACGTTCGAGTTGGACTCCACGCCCAGCTTCTCGAAGAGGGCGCGGGCGTTGTTGAACCTCGCCGAGTGCGACTCGGTTCGCACCGCCGGAGCTCCCTGGACGTGGGCGTGGTGGGCAGCGGCGGCGGCGGCGGCAGCGGCGTGGGCGGCTGCAACGGCACTCAGCTGCTCCACCGGCTGGATCTCGATCGGCTTGCGCTGGAAGATGTTGGCTATCTGGCTCACCTTACCCACGGCAGCCGGGGCGGGGGCGTGGTGCATCGGTTTCTCCATGGTGGAACTATAAAACAGCAATAGAGGAAAAAATATGTATAAGAATATATTGATTGTTCTCTTACTAATTTAATCAAATTTTTGTCATTAATAAAACATATTTAGCTGCAAATAAAGATCAACTGTTTATGAAGCTCTATTCCTATTAATACCAAACTGGGTGAATTTTTGAACTTTCAACCTTTAATAAGATAGAATTACTTATTTATAACAAGCTCTTATAAGTCCAATGCAAATTTGTATTCACGAGAAAAATGAAAACAAGCTATCAATGTTTCGTACGTATTTCCCCTTATTATTATCGGAAGTCGCATTTATAATATCAAGAGATCCAGTTATCTTTGATAAAAATTCCACTAACCGCGCCCTAATGGCAAAACTGATAAAATCGATGGGGAACTCAACGTTTATTGCAGTGTTACCTTTGCCATTTTCTTGCTCATCGATTTGACAGACGACTTTCGCAACGATTTTCACCTTTACTTTCTGCTGATTTTTATGATTTTCCTTTGTTATGCGTTTGTTTGTTTTTGTTTTTTTCTGCACATCAAACACAATTAGGGCTCCATTGATGGGCCTCCGTAATGTTTGGACCCCACTCGCCGTCTTCGGTCGCTGTTCGTTGTGTGAAAGTCTTCGCAAAAGTGAACAAATTTCAGTGTTTGGAGCTTGGGCGACTTTGCTTTCGGAGGGAAAGAGAAGGCACTGCCAGGTGGTAAGCGAATGGGGCTTTCTTCGCCCGAGAACCGGAGAATCGGAGGAACTGGGAGGCGAAGAGAGGGCCCGAGAAACCCGGAGAGCCGTGAGTGGGCACGTCGGCGCGACATTGAAATCCCTGCGTGGAGGTGTATGCATGTAGGTGCCTCCGCACAGCTGATAGGCGATAGGGTAATGCCCACCGTTATCGGCTCTCTGGCGGTATTGATTTACGAGTTGGGCTAGGTTGGTTCCTCCAGTTGCCCTACTGCCACTCCAAAATATTCCGCTTTCGGTTTTGGGAACTTTTTATGAAACTTGGAACTAATGCCAGCTGTTATTTGTTAACATATGAACCATTATATTCAACAGTCTTCGTTGTTTCTGAGTTCTACCAGCTGAGCCAGTTCCACAAACTTTACCCCACCCAAAAGAGCAACCCACCCTCATTACGCACCAAACCAAAACAGACCTCTTCATATTCATAACCTCCTTAACGATCGTACATTTCCATATGTGTCAGAGGCGAAAAAGCGCAGTTTGTGCCACAGACTATCTGAACCGGCGGACAGTCGAAACTTATCGCAAAGTCAATAGGAGTACGGGTCTAACTAGCTAGCTAGCTGGAAAAGAGCAAACACGGGCGCAGAGGTAAACAAACGGCCAGATAGTGAACTCACACCCGCGTCCACACAATTAGGAGGAGAGCAAGTCGAGACAAAGGTCGACTGTACTATCATCTCCGGGGGTCTTGTCTGGTAAACAGGGTAAACAGACACGGGACAAAAGTCAGAGCCCAAGCACGAGACAATGGCGACGGACTGGGAGACTTATCTAATCTAATCGAAATGCACAATGCATGGGACCGTGAATTAAGATAGACGCGGTGATACAAGATTAGGGCGAGATAAATTTAGCCGCTGATCTCGTTGCTGTTGTTATTGAAAAGCCACAGTACCACACGGCGGATGATAAAATATTATATTACGTATCCGCCGCATCGCTATTTCCCAAGGGAAGTCCGAAACTCGGTGCATATTTCGACTGGTGAATGTTTAAACAGTCCTGAGATTTATTTGGCAGGCGAGCTGATATTGATTTAATGACAGCCCGCTGCATCCATCCCCCCTCATTAAATATTAATGCCGCAGAGAGTGGACAGAGACGCAAGGACGTGAAAGGACATCGACATGGACACGACCAGCAAGCTGCTCAAGTGCACAATCCATGCAGCTGTCGAGGGGTCGATTCGGTTGCTCCGTTGGCAGCCACTATTTATAACAGCCCCATGAGGTCCGGGCAAGGGTCCTTGTCCTTGGCTTTTTGGCTTCGCAATTTAATCACATAGTTCATGGCAAGATCTCCCATCGAGAGCTTTCAAGGATGTATGGCAAATTACTTGTAGTACATGAAATAGCCATTCTTTTTACGAGCAGTTATGAACTCACATTTGTCATCTTCCACAAAATAAATACAGTAACAAACCAAGTCAATAAAATTACAGGAAATATAAGTTTCAGTTGGTGTTCATTAATCGCAATAAAAAGCGGTTATATTTAGAATATTATTCACTAAATCCCCTTCCTAACTAATTTAGAAAGAAGCACAATATCCGTAACAGCTTCCATTCCATTCCGGTCAGTGGCACCCTAACGCTCACCATTTCTCAGCGTAACTGTCACCATTATCATTAGCATAAATGCGGATTAAGACACCCCATTAAAAACCATAATCAGCGCTAAATGCCCCCGATCGTAACGATAACGATCACAATTTGCGCCTCGCAAATGACGAAAACTAGTTTACCCCTGTGTCTCTGATTTTTGCATAAATGTTAATTGCACTCGGCAAAATGTTAAATTGCACTCGTTAGCTCAAACACGTGATCCAGGCGAGAGATGGGATGGGGATGGGGATGGGAATGGGGATGGGGGCCCAAACAGGAGGAGGCCAGGTGAGCAGCGGTAGCCAGCGACGCCATGTGTTATAATTGCGTCAACATTCAGTCTCTTGAGCGTGAACGAGAAAACAATGTCAACAATGAAATGATGGCCCCATTGTAAATGGCAATGCCGCACAGGGGGGAAGTGGGGAAGTGGAGGGGAGCCGAGTGGCGGGGCACAAAAGATTGGTTGCAATTAGTGAAGCCACCTTCCTACCTACGCGTCTGGACCTGGCGAGAGTCTATTCCATTCCACATTCGAGGTGAGATGGCCCCCCCACTGGGATGTCTTGCAGTTACCACCGATTCCCACGAAATATAAACCTGGCGCCAGGAGAACGATTTCTTAATACGATATGGATATAGGAATCGGAACAGTCGTAATGATGATGATCTTGGGAACCAAAGCAAGCGCTGCGAACAATGAGCCCGGTGTTAACTAGGAAACAACTCGTATTAACCTTATGATTAATGGTTTCTACTAAAAATATTTTTTTGCAACCCAAAATAGCACCTCTATCTTATAGTGTCGCAAAATTAATTTAAATAATATCTGATTGGTATTGCTGTTACGAATAAAATACACCACTTGGTTTTTACAAATGATGTTAGCCAAGAGACAACTTCCTGTGACAATTTATTTAGATTTCATCTGGAAACATTTTCATTACAGTTCTTCATAGCAAGGCCCAACCTTGGGCGCCACTCCATAAAAAGTGGCGGCGGTTCCTAGTATTATTCTCAATGTTGTGTGTATGTTACAGGTTTTATTTCATTCCACTCCGACTCGAAGCCCAACCTTCGGTCGTGACAACTGTCTGGGCTACAGACTCAGAGACTCGCAGACTCGCAGACCTGCAGTGCAACAGACTTACTTACTTTCCGCGTAGGCCTGGCTAGCAACACAACTAACGAAGGAACAAAACACAGCCAACAACATTCACTTATTAAACGAGAACACAACAATTCAAGATGTTTTGATACGGTTACCGCAGCAGCGATGAATACGAAACGAGTTGTCGTTGTCGTTGTTGAGGTTGTTGTGGTTGTTCTCCTCGTTGTTGTTGTCGTTGTTGTTGTTGTTCGCGCTGTTCTGCGAGTTGTGGGTCTGTGGTTCGTTGGTTCGTTGGTCTTGTTAGACAAATTATGCCAATTAAACGGTGGGAAAACAAGTTGGCAAGTCTGCACGCGCTGGCCCCCAATCGTGGGCTTCGCGGCCCCACTCTTCCCCTCTTCCCCTCTTCCACTCTGGCACCCTCCCACTCCGAAATTCCGAACTGGAGTCCGAGTCCGAACTGGATTGGGCCCACTGGATGCGCCCGGGTGGCGCACCGAATGGAAATGCAGAGCCCGCCGAACGGGTCTTCAAAGGATGCGGCCTGCTGAATTGAATCTGAGTCCCGCCGCAGCGCACTCGCACTCGAGGGATCCCAGATCCCAGATCCCAGAGCAGAACCAATTGAGATACGTCCTCGTCGCGTCAAAGTGTTTAGAGCCTCACACGTCGATCGGGAGTCCATTTGCATAATCGAAGCGATTGACTCTTATAAGCCTGGCAAATGACTGCCAGTGAGTCAGTGGCCTGAAACGAACGGCTGTCGCCGCCAAGGCGGGAAACTATTTTTAAGCTCCCAGGATGCTGCTTTATTTGCATATTTCTGCGCCAGGTAGCAACCAACTTATGCCTTGCCTCTCACAGGGTGAAAATTTCGATAACACGTCTTTAAACTAGGAGGTTTTGGATTTGTAAACCCTTTATAGGCCTAACGACTTCGAAATGAAAGGCTAAGGTGGGGACTTGGTCTTAGCAACTTTATATAATATTTCTAGGTGTTGTAAAATCCTATTCTCAAACTGTTGCCTCTGCCCTCGTGGTGGCCAAATAAACTAGAGCACAACCTGGCGCCTGGTCCTCGCCCTTTCCCCAAACGAGTCTCATGTGCGCATAATTAAGGAGCCCAGGGAGCCTCAAACTTGGCTAAGGATCTACTACGTGTGTGTTTGTGGGCGGGTTTTTATGGCCTAACTGGGAGATGAGCCTTAAAAACATTTGTGGCTGCTTTGGGAGCGAGCACACTTGGCTTGTGCCACATATGTTCCAATTCCTGAGGATTTGACTAGCCTGAAAGGATAACGCTTAACTAGTTTTGAGTTGGACTATGCATAAATTCTAGTTTAGGGTTTTTGGAATTTATGAGTTATTTTTTACTAGATAAATATCCTGTTTATTTTCTTCCAGCTTTTACAACCACTTGTCAGAGTTAAATAATTTAAACTTAAAGGTGAATTGAAATTTATGGGCTCGCCACAATTCGGATTCGATATAAACCCGCTCAGCCAGGGGATTTATTGCCCTGCGATAGGCAAACTGGACTCACCTTTCACTTGTCCAATTCAGGCGTTGCTCGTCGTCCTTCCTCCTCGCGGGCTTCCTCCTCGGCTTTCCTTTGTTGCTTGATTAAACCTGCTGAACACCTAGAGCCTGGCTCCGCTCCAAACATTTGTCATTGTGGCTGGGTGTTTGTGTTTGTGTTTGTAGTGTGTTTGTCTTTTCAGCTTTTTCGTATTCAAGTTGGCCAGGTGAGGCTGCTCCTTCCTCTCCACTTCCACACTTCCACTTCCTCCTCACTTGCTCTTCACTTCCTCCCACTCGATGGCAGCGGAGCGTGTCTAGCTGCTTTTTCTCTTTTTAGTGGACCTCGTGGTTGTCAGCCAATCAACCCACCGCTGGCCTCATCGGTGTCAGCATTTTTTGTGTTTGCCTTTTGCGCAAGATGAAAATGCAAATTTCTGCAAAAACAATCCGAGAAACAATCGCAGACAAAAGTTAAGAGAGCGAAATGCAGTTAACAGAAATGGAAACTTAAATTCTACACGTAAAACTATTTTATAGGAGTTAATAAAAAAGCTCAAATACCTCCTATTAAAAGTAATTCAATGAATATCTTATTATCTGTTAAATTTAACTACTCAGTTCCTTTAAAAAATGTTATTTAAGTGTACATTTTTGTCTGTGTAC